ACACTTTGTTATTGCATCTACCACGATGAATAACAACAACCTTTTCCTCGACATAGACGTTTAAGTTTTTCAGACAACGCGCTCTTTCCAACTCTCACCAAACTATAATAACAGTCTTAACAAGCCTGTTGTTGACTGAATGCAAAAAGGATATATCGAATTATAAATCATTGAATGTTGTTTCAGATTGAAAACATCCCCGGAAGACAGCGAAATATTTGATGCTCAAATTCGTCCTGCGGGGGAGTATAGTCGGTTTTTTGTGCAGTCTCGCACACTTGGGGCCGAGCGGAAGACGTTTGGAGGGGACTCGTGGAGAGTGTACCTTGAAGGACCTTCGTATCTTGCAGGCACCGTCTTCGATCATAATAATGGAGTGTATGAAGTGTTGTTCCTGATCATGGAGCCTGGGGTGTACAAAATCAACATGATTCTAGATTATACGCTGTGTGATGGAGTGATTGATCCTCCAATGGATTGGTTCAAAAATGGTAAAGTAGTACTTTTTTATCTTCATTAAGTGTAGAACAGTCACGGACGGCAAATGAAGGTCAAGTCCTCGGAAGAGGGGGGGCCACTCCCTCACGAAAAGGACAGGGGTGCTCGTCGTGCCTTTTAGGGGTTAAAAAAGCGGGTTTGGTGCCTCTTAGGGTGTTCAGCTTCAAAAGGTCCACAGCGGGGGCTTTCGTGGTAACTTTGAGGATATTGAGCCGAAAGAGTCAATGTCAGTCAATGTATTGTTTTAGACTTGGTAAATCTTTGGGTGAATAAAATTTCAAGCCACGCCCACAAAACAAGATCTTGTCACTTTTAAAGCATTCTTTTCAAAATTTCCGACGCATGTCCTCCTCCTTTTTATCTTGGAGTTCCCCGGTTAATCAAGTATTCCCTTGGAAATATCAACAAAGCTAGAGCTTTCAAACATAGTTAATAGAGGGGACTGGTTATGAAGTCCGGCAAACATTAAAGGAGCAAACAAAGATGTCAAGATTTATGTTGGAAGGCCCACGACCGTGCACAATCTTTTGTTTTGCCCTCATACACTATACATGAATTACGTAACTAAAACGTTTCTATTAGTTAGTTCCCCAGTACGAAGTAAACAACTATTGAGTGTTGTGCGCGGTCAAGGCCAAAAAAGCGAACAAAAACATACTACAAAGAACTTTGTCGGGTTTCAAAACCATTCCCCTCTATTAACTATGTTTCCAAGCACTTCGTTAAAGTAAAAGAGCAACCACATCAAGAACGAGGACATCGCTGTCCGTGGATCAAAAATGTTGGTGCTAAAGTTTTTGTGGGCTTATGGCCTCTCAGCGCGTCTCCCCCACGACACTTAATTCTAAAAACCGCTCGGACGTTTTTATTAATTCTTGTTTGAATTTGCTGTGATGGCCAGATGTGATAACTTTGGTTTTGGATCCAAGTTGTGCTAAACTGAATCCATGAGAATATCGCTGCACTCATGAACTGTATGTATCTATTAACTGTGATAAAAGGATACCTGTATGCTTTTCGAGCATTTAATTTCAAATCGAATGCAAGTAAACAGTTAATACATTCTTGGTACGTGAGCAATGAAGAAGAATACTGAGAGTTATAATAACAAGTAATGACGGCTTTTAAATCTTGACCTCTTATTCTACATGAACGTAACAATAATTTGAGTACGATGTGAAACTTTGTCTTCAAGTTATTTTATCATAACCCCAAAGCTGATACTGATTTGGAGAGTGACGACGCATTGAACAAAACTCGCTGCATAATGTACTTGATTTTATATGTCTATATAGTACAGCTTTTTAAAAAAAAATGCAAACGGACTTTCCATCCTGAGAGTTCAACATGCTGCCTGCCATTCAACTCACAACTCGCTGCTTGTTTGTCTTTTCCCTTATTCAAGTTATTTACATCACTTTTTTGGATTCCTATTTACAGCTCACTGTTCAGGAAAGTTAAAGAACGTACACCTTAGCAATAGTCTCTTCTCAGAAATGACCGGTTACATCAACAAGCCTTTACTATCTGCTACAAAGAGAACAATCACAATCCCATGGAGACGTCTCAGTGAAAGTGGTAAGGGTTTCTTCCTCCTCGCTTCGTTTGCCTTCTTTCTTTCCTCCTTTCCCTCTTTCATTCCTTCTCTCTTTGATTCATTTATCAACTCATCGGTTTCTTTATGTAACGGTATGTTGAAAAACTAAAACATAGAAAAAACGAAGAGAGAGAAAGAAGCAAGATATGAAGTAGAGAGTTGGATAGAGCAAGAAAAAAGAAAGTTAGAAGGAAGAAAAGAAAGAAAGATCTAAGAAGGATATATGTCGCTTTACAATAATCCCTTCTCTCAATTTTAAGCACGAACATATTCTAGTCATAATATCTTTCTTCATTTGATTAAAATGCCAATTAAGTGGTACAATGGCTTAAAGTAAATATTGAATGTTAAAATGACACAGGGTAAAGCAATTTTTTTAAAACTCCTTTTAAGTTTAAGTGTACTTTTTTCGAAACATCTTCTGAACCTCTCAGGCTCACGTAATCACGCAATCATATACAAAGAGGAATGCATCAGTTAAAATATATCTGCACAGATTCCCCGGCAGGGGAGGGTTGGAGTAATATAACTAACTCGGATCTGTGGATCATTCCATTTGTTTTCACTTGATGTGTTGGGACCTTTTGTAAAGACCGATCAGAGCATGCGCATCAAATGGCCTAATCTCCACCAAAACGTAGACTAAATGTAAATATTCGTTTAATATTCCTTGTCATTAGAAATTCAAAACAACATGCGCGCAGCGGATAACGAGTGTGATATTCAATGTAACTTGATGTGGGATGGATTCGGAAGATGGGTGACTGGATTCAAATGGAAGCCTTACATGGACTTTACAAGAGAAGGTAACTGTTATTTTGTTCCATGAAGGGAGTCAGAAGCTAAGTCCAAGGCTACAATTTGGGCGACATCCATTCCTTGAGTTCACTCACTGTTTATAACCCATACTCCCACCAGTTGAGCCTGTTACTGTGAACTCGTAACTCATCTGGTCCACTATTTGTATCTCAGTTGACCTTAAACTGTTTATCTCTGTTAGTCCATTATGTTACAAGTGTTAGGCCCGGTTCAAACTAGCGACATAACGACATAAAATAAATAAATTGATAAATAAATCACTTTATTAAATCCATTTTGAAATCACTGGCTATCCTTGCAATCTGATTGGCTCTCAATGGTGCGATTTNTAAAACAAGTGAACTGTTGACAACGTGCAAAGGGCTTTGATTTCCAAAGAACAATTCAATCCGCGCGATTCTGCTGAAACTTCAGTACTACTTAATAGTGGGAAATCGCTAAAACGTGTATTTAGATCAGATTATTCGCTCTCGATTTCTATGAATTTGGTGATAGATTATGTGGCCGAAAGTTTTAAAGTCGCAAAACAGCAAATTTCTAATTCCTGAGCGTTTAGTTCAGGCCTGTTCTCAAATATTCATCGATTGATATCGCGTTTTATTAAATCCATTTTGAAATCACTTGTTATCCTTGCAATCTGATTGGCTCTCAATGGTGCGATTTATTCACGAATCGCACTATTTTTTGCTCTAAATCACATCTTTTTCTCAGCCATTGAGAATGGGACAGTGAAACAAAACAACAAATCAGATTTCAATCTTAGTTTACGGTAAACAAAATTTCAGGAAAATGAAAGGCAAAAAGCCATTGTGTGGAGAATTTAGCAACTAGTATTGCCAAAACTTTGTTGTT